GGTGGCCAGTCACAATTCTTTTAGCTAGAAGCATCTGCCGGAAAGAGCGTGCCACTGGCGAAAAAACCCTGCGGGGAAATTGTGCAAAAAACGCATCCTCGTACCGGCAGCCGGTACGCTTTCGACTAAGTTAATTCCTTATTTTGCTCGATTCTTCTGTGCGTTATCAAATATCGTATTGACTAAAAAGGACAATTAGATCAAGCAAGGCTTTTCAAGCATCTTTTTGATCGTGGTTTTTACACAGCAAGACCTTTTCGATTCTGTCTTACTGCTGGGCATTGCTTTCTCGACTAGATGCAGCTGGACTTGACAACGTGAGCTCTCGAAGCTTTGCAACCTACAGTGCTGATAAATTTGTGTCAGTGTTTCGCCGTTGCGAACTTATTTCCCATGTAGAGTGGTGCATGACGCGCTCTGCCGATCGGTACAAGAACCTTCCATCTGATTACGTCAATTCGAAATGATACAACGCACGAGTCTGGGAAGCTTTCTGTTGTGGCGTATTTTTGTTTTGCGCTTCTCTAAGTTTTGCTTTTCCTAAGCCATGGCTGCTCTGCTGCGATAATTGCTATTTCGAAATCATCCTTTCCCAGGTCATTCTGGCCATTGCGCAGAGAATGAAATACTTCTCATTTCTTGCCGTATCTTTTCTCATGTTTCTCAAGCATTTCTTTGTTTTTACCCAGATAGGTTGATTAGAAGATATTTAAATTTCTATCTGAGTCCTTGTCTCTCTTACCGCTTTTACGTCTTTACTGAAGCAGTAACAAAAGCACATTTCTTCACTGTCGCTGTTGTTTTGAATGCCATTCGTGCTCCAGTGCCATGTCTGTCGACTGTACTCCTGACTTCATCTAAAATCTGCACTAGATTATCCACTACCATACTTTTTCTCGATGACAGCCACGCAGTCGAATCCACATTCAGCATTAAACTCCTCTACCTTGTCGTCGTTGCTGGCTATGGTGGGACGCAAAGCTAGACAGTCTTAAGACTTTTGGCGAAGAAATGTACCGATTCGCGAGGACGAGGCTGTTATAAAGATTGCTGACGATATGATGCACCTGTGTTTATTAGTTCTTTTCTTGCATTCTCAAGGTTATCGTAGTTGTAGGTCATATTTAGTAGCTTCAGCCTTCGACAGACTGTGCGAGCCGGGGTTTCGAAATTCGGTATCGTAAAGTTTTGATCCACATCTAACGCTGGTTCTCTGCTCACGTCGTATTCACTGGTCTCGACTAGGATGGTGCTGCAGAAGAGGATGTATCACGGCACCAATAAAAACGCGAAACTTTTTCTTTACT